TTATAACACTTTTGCAATCAGTTGTTTGGTATAATTTGTAACTATAACTTAAATTTCAGTTTGTGAATTATTTACTTAAAATCACTTAGAGCAGATCTAAAAATCACTCCTATAAAAATCACATTCAATAACATTTTCATTTGTTTTGTTGAATAGGGATGGAATAGAGGTATAGCTTTGCCTTATGAATTGTGTATACTAATAGCTTAGCCTATGTAGGTATTTCCAGGGGAGTTGTATACCATGTTAATAACGATCTGCTGTTGTAACAGAAAAAATTCAAAACTGCTATGCCAAATCATGTAAACACGCCCATTCAGTACTTTTATATGAAAATACTTAATTGTGTATTTATATTAAAAGGTTCTTAAAGGTTGGGTCTATAGTTATATTTGGTGTAATACCTACCAATGCCTAAATATGTGTTTATTATTAGTGCTGCTATCAAATTATGTATTAAAATTATTTTCAAGAAGCAATTCAGATGTAATTAAAAATTTATAAGAACTACAAAATATCTCAAAATTTAGCAATGTGAACTAACTTTCAATTCAAATGAAAAATCTCAAATATAATTTAAAAATCCATAGGAAAAATGGTTAAAAATGTGCAAAAATGTTAAGTGTATGTGGTATATTTTTTTCTGCTTCCTACTTTTCTATAACACTTTTCTCCAGTGAAAACTTATTATATTTACTTTTCCACTTACATATTTAAAGATACTTTTGTTATTAAAATGGTATATATTCAGCATTTCATTATATATAATCATAAAAGAAAAAGCAAATGATACCAGCTTAGTAATAGTGTAGACATTGTCACAGTATTGTAATAAAAGCAGTTGCAAAACTAAAGGGCAACAAAGACATCTTCTGGACATCTTAAGAATTGCATAGTTATTTTTTAAACAAAGGACCTTATTTCCATTGTGTAATAGTTATTTAAAAACCACACATTAAGAAGTGCAAAATCAATCTATAATTAGATTTGAAATTTTAAATATTACATGATTAAATTACAAACATACAACAGTTGAGGAAGAAAAATACAAAATCATTGCATATACATTGGAACTCTATCTTTGAAAAATTTCTTTGAAATTATTGCCAGATAGATTTATTAAAGTATAAACATTTTGGAAAAAATTTATTTTTATTAAAAGAAATATCATGAAAGCTATATGAAATATATATATTGAACCAATACTTTAAAAATAGGACACTTTCTGAATCATGGAGCCCTTTTATATCAAAATATAATTTAGTCACCAACTTAAAGAACTGTAGTTAACAAATTCAAAACCATATTTAATTGATTTATGATATTTTAGGTATGTAATAGGTTAGGAAAAAATTCTTTCCAGTGAAATATAATTATTAAAGATCAAAACTGTTCACTCAGTTTGAACGTATGTTTTCAGACAAACTACTTGAAAATCGTTGCCCTGTAGACACAATTCAATTTATACAAAAAAAAAAAAAAGACTCTTTCATTCTGAGGAACCAGTATTGATGTTTACTATTTGCATCTCAAACAAGTTTGAGGGAAGATCTAGTTTTAGAGATTTTGTTGTTTTTTGTTTTTTTCTCCCAGGTATAATCCTAAAAATCTGTAACAAACAACTAGCTTTAGCAATGGTTGTGTTTGGTAAGCAATGTATGCTTTAGTTTGGTAATTTCAAATGAATATGCTATGAATGAAAGTGTGCTTATTTCCTAAAATTACCATTTCCTAATAATTTCAGATGACAGACTATAATTGAATATCAAAACTAGGCATTTGATTCTCTGGATTTTGTTTTATTTGACTTTCATTTTTTTCAAATTATTGAATGCTATTAACAGTTCATGATTTTTATAATATAGAAATCCAAATAATTAAGATAACCATAAAGAAAGTTTGAGAGGTGATATTAAATCAAATTCATCAGGAGTGATAGATCATCTTCAGTTGGCACTGAAGTGCTTCAGTAACATGAGTAACATGATTCTCTTATTCTTTTCTTTTTCATTGACTACTGTCTGCTAGCTTTTGCGTAACTCCCAAAAGAAATAGGTTTCCTGGCATATGCTCATTTGTGTAGGCAGTTACATTCGATTTGATCTTGAAAAGTTGCTCCCAGGAATTCTGTAAGAAGTAGGATATTTATAAGTCAAATAATGGTAACTTATTATCTTAATGAGGTAGTTAAGGTAATTGTACAGTAAATAATTTCTACATTTAAAAAATATTATTTATTTATTTATTTATTTTTAGGTGGGCACAATATCTTTATTTTATTTCTATGTGGTGCTGTGGATTGAACTCAGTGCCTCATGGATGTGAGGCGAGTACTTTACCATTGAGCCACAATCCCAACCCCATAATTTCTACATTTTATATGCATGCAATTTCATAAAAATAATATAAAGGAGAAAATGATTCTATTTTTGAAAAATAGGTTATCCTGAGAACTCACTGAAACACAACTGATTCTAGCAGGAGAGTCAGTGCAGAAAGAACCATGCCTATACTAGATCTGCTGTTGGAGAGTGAAGGTATAACTACAAAATATCTGGGGGCAGGCAACTGAGAAATATAGGCAGGGAAGTTTGGACTCTGAATGAGAATTAATAATATTCTTAGGATTGAGCTGGCTATATGGCTGGGTCCAGCCTAGAAACGTTGATAAATGGGAACTTGAAAAAAAGCTTTGAAGAATTTCGAAAATTCTTTACCCTCACAGTTGCATAATTGAATTTATCTGCTATTCAAAATTTAAGTAAACTACTTTCCAAATTCAGTGAGTAGAGTGGAGAAAGAATACAATTAAAAATAGTTCCCAGGTAATTATTTCAGTGTTACCTCCCTGGTGAGCACTTGGAATTTCTTGAGGACTATTCAACCTTGATTGTCATTTTGAATCTTTTGAATTATGATGTGAATACTCTGAACTTTGGGAAAGGTTTGGTGAATGGGTGAAAAGAAGCCCTAGGCTGATAACTTTTCTCAGCTATCAGTGTACATATATAATAATATATAACATATTTACTACACTTCTATACATGACTGGCAAATATGGAGAATTTTTTTAAAATGGTGAAAAATGATATTAAAACAGAATAGCTTGGGGCTGGGGTTGTGGCTCAGTTGTAGAGCACTTACCTAGCATGTGTGAGGCACTGGGTTTGAGTCTTAGCACTGCATATAAATAAATAAAGGTCCATCAACTACTAATAAAAATGTTTAAAAAATAATAGCTTACCTTCCCTCATTTTGGTTGCTCTGGTACATTTGTGCAGTTGGAGATGCAATATTAGGATGTGACAGAAGATTAGGAGAGAGATTTATCCCTCTAAGTTGCCGAAAAGCTATTTCTGCATGGATGCTCCGAGGATTACTTGTCAGGATCCCTGTATTCTTGTCTTTTTTGTCTGAATTTGTAGGAATTCAGACAGTTAAAATTATGAAACAATGAAAAACATTAAGTAATAAGGTTTGGTTGTGGGTAAGACGAAAATATGTTGTACATGTTTTATAGTATGAATTAAACATTTAAAATAAAAATATAAAATTGGCATATAGCACTTAATGTGGCTTAAATTTTTGTGAGTTAGTGGATCAATTTGATACTTTCTGGGTAATTTTTTAAAAATACAAATATTCAGATCTGCATGCTGTAATAAATGTACAGATGAAGTAACTATACTTTTCAAAATACAACTTAGGACACCAAAATGAAGGAAAGAAATTAAGGACTTTTCCACGAAATCCTAACAAATCTTGAAGAAGGATATATGAAAAGGAAGTTATGAAGATGAATTGAGGATTGAACTAATAGGGAAAAGACATTCCTGAAAATGATAGTACACTGTTAGGGAAGCTAAAAACAATTTAGATTGCCCAATTTTGTGTATATTTCTACCTACTGGACAAAAACAGTTCTCATTTTTACTAAAACTGAAAAGTCATAAAATATGTAGGAGTATGAAAAATAAGATAAATCTAACAGAATAAATTAGCTAGGTGTCTTTTAATTGTGTTTACTTTAAAACTATAACCATATTGAGTAATTGCCTACTTTTATATAGTAGGCTTTTAAGATAATTTTGTAATTGTTGTGATGTTGAGTTTTATTGTCTAACAGTGGTGTAAGGACAAGGGAAAGTTAAAAGGAATGGAAGTGGTGAGCCCTGAAGAAAGACTAGCTATCCCCAATTTTGCTGAAATAATAGATAGCCAGTTTAAGATCTGGAATTCTGGAACAGGTTTGATCTAAATCTGAATTAAAATGTGTATAATAAAATCATTTCCTTGTCCTATTATTTTAGTATATTCCCTCCTTTAAAGCTCTACCTCTTGAAACTCTTCCATAATTGCTTCGTAAATTTACCAGTGGTTTTAGTGAAAAAATATGACCTCTTTCTAAGATATCCTCTATTCCCAAAGATTCTGTTTTTGTTATTATTTATTTATTATGGTACTAGGAATTAAATTCAGGGACACTCTACCACTGAACCACATCCCCATCCCTTTTTTTATGCTTTGGGACAAAGTCTCACTAAGTTACCCAAGATGGCTTCCAAACTTGTGATTCTCTTGCCTTACCTAGCCTACCTCATTGCTGGGATTACAGGGATGTTACTGTGCCCAGCTCTGTTGTTATATTAAAAATTTTCTGATTTCTACATTTAGCAGGATTTACTAATGAACTATGATCCTAAGATAGCTACAATATAAAGAAAATTAAAGTTTTGGAAAAAGTCAGGAAATAATAGGGCAAGTATCACAAAGTTTACACTGTGAGAGAGCAAATGTTTAGCTAGTTTAGTAGTTGAGTAGAACAAAAACTACCATTGTCTCTGAAATCAGAATGGCTACAGAAAACTTGAACATATAATTTTAAGAAATATAAATTAAAAACACCCAATTTTAAGGAATATTAAAAGTAAAGTGAGATTTTCATTTCAAATGAAGTGTTTTGTTTACACTCTCTGAAACTCTTGTCAAAATACCTTCAACTTCAGGAGTTAAAGTGAAGTCGGGTCCCAAGTAATGGCTAAATCCACCAGGCAGAATTACATTTGTTATTTTAATGGGAGATGCTTTCATTGGGCAGAATGATCCACCATCCATAGGAGAGTTGGTAACAGGAATAAACTACATAATAAAACAAAACAATTAAGAACATCTTACCTCCAAATCTTAGATCAACAGGTTTAGTCTTCATCACAAACCTCACATGACAATCAAATTTTTCTTAGTCAGCAGAAAACATGGTTGCCTAAACACAGAACTGGTACTAACTAAAACCTGTAGAATCCACAGAGCTCTCTTGGTGATTATCCTTATGTTCTGTTTCTTCAGACTGCTTTTGCACTCAGCACTAGAAGCTGGTGCGCTTCATGGCACTTCCTCTTTTCAAAGTGTATTAATAAGGTAAGTGTAATGTTTCTTCTTTTTCCCATTACCTCATCAGGTGCCTTGCAGTTACTTAGTTTTTCAAAACCAAGTTAATAAAATAGGGACTAAGAAAAGCAAATTACAATAATTTTAATGAAAGTGGTAAAGCTTTAAATAGTATTTACAATGTAAACCATCAAGGATTAAGAGACTTTTAAAGAATTTCAGGAATCGGCAAATGGAGAAGAAAAATATTTTGAGAGGGAGACTCTTGCTGTCCCTAAAAATTTATGACCCCTCTGATGTCATTAATACTATGAATTTGTTTATATTTTTTTAAAGATATGAATTCTGAACATATTATTGAACCTATTTAGAGACATAGGCCTTTGCCATTTGTGTAAAATTACTGATTTACTTCATACTTTCTTGTTACCAAGAAGACAGCTTTGAAATGAATGGTTTTTACTAAAGCTGGTCAGTCTCAAATTCCCTTATTCCTTTGTGGGAGTTACTTCCTATCACTAATCTAGAATGCTAAAATTTAACAGCATTCTATTAGGAATTAGAAAACTAATTTCAAAATGTTTTGGTTTAAAAGACAGCTTTTAGAGTTCATTTCTCCTTTTTCTGGTGTTTAAAAGCAAGAATAGCAGTCACAAAGATTAGTATATTAGACTGAACTGATAATGGCTCAATTTTGTTTTAGCCATGAAAATGAGAGTGATTGTTGAGTCAAAACATATATCTCCAGAATAAAGACTTCAAATACACCTTTTGTTTTACGAACCATGTATTGATGAACCAAAAACAAAATTTAAAATAAAATGTTTACAATATAGAAAAACTAAGTGGAAAGATAGTTAAATTCTTTTATGGAGCACTGATTCAAATGGCAAGAATATAGACTAAGATTACATCATAGAAGAGCATTGGGAAAAATCTGGGTTCACTATGTAAGATATAGAAAAAATGAACAATAAATAAACTTTTCAATGAAATATTCATCATTGACTGAAATTTAAGTTAATGTACTTTATTCTGCTATATGAAAACAATTTTTAAAAATTACCTAGGGAAATTGGGATCTTTAAATATGTTTTAAATGATTTTTTAACATTACTTTAAAATAGAATCTATAAATTTTAATATGATAAGTTTTAGGTTTCTCAATGGAGCCCTTACATGAGGTATGATAGAATAATTTCTCTTTCCCAGAGATGTTCAATATCCTAATCTCCAAAACGTGTGAATATTTTACTTTACATAGCAGAGGAATTTGCAGGTGTGATATGGTTAAGGATTTTGACATGGGGAGATTACTGTGACTATCTAGATGAAGGGAGACAGAAAGATCTGACAGACAGGAGATGTGATGATGGAAACATGCAGTCTAAGTGATACATTGCTGGAAGAAGGCCAGTAGCCAAGGGATGTAGATAGTCTCTGGAAACTGGTAATAGCAAAGAACAAGTTCTCTCCTGGAACTTCCAGAAGGAATGCTGCCTAGCCAATGCTTTTTATCAGATGTCTGATCTCCAGAACTGTAATATAATAAATTTTTATTGTTTTAAGGCATAAAATTTGTGATAATTTATTGCATTTGGAATAAAAAACTAATTCCTGAGGCATACAATTTTCAAGAAGTGACTTGCTCCAGGAATACAAAATCAAGAAAGGGAAAGAAACCTTCAATTACTGAACTATATTTTATTTCATCTTTTTTTTCTCTTTTGAAAGACTGGCCTGTGACAAGAATTTGAATACATGAGACATGTAGTGCTTTTCTTTATCAACATCATACAGATTGATGGCTAAGATAAAGACATATATTTTAGAAAAAATGTAGATATCCACAATCATTTTTATTAATATTAATAACTTTTATTAACATTAAACAACTTTATGTTTCACAAGTCTCTGTGGATACTTTGACCTATAATAGAAACTCCTTTGTTAATTAAAGTCAATATTAATCAGAAAAGTTAGGATTAATAAAAAAGTCAGAAAGTCATAAAAATATATAGCAAATATCTTTTTAAAAATTTATAACATAAAATTACATGCATTTATAACATAAAATTACATGCATTCACCAATCTTCTGACAAAGGGGCAAGTTCTTTTCTGTAAGCAAGGGTCTTTTGATTGGTATTTTATCTGATTTTTCTTGGATAAAACATACCCTTAAGATTTTTCCTACAATTTCCAGTTTGGGTTTCTTTAAAATAACAAGAATTTAAAGATATGTGAGGAAAATTTGAATATAAGAATTTGTCTAGATTTTAAAAAATAATTTCCCCATATATTTTCTCTAAATTTTAATAATTTTCTCCTTTATTTTATAATTTTCTTCCATACCTAATTTGACATTATATACTAATAGTGTATGTGTGCTTGCTTTTTATCCAGACTTTCCAAAATATCCAATTTTGTATTCATAGAAACAAATAATAATTTAAACTTTGTTCTTAAAGTTCATATATTGAAAATAAGAATTAGTATAGCAGGTTTTGAAAAAAAGCAATACAGTCAACTCTTGATGAGTATGTCAACCTACTGCTGAAGTGCGAAGTAGACTGGAGAGGAGCCCACAAGTATCAACAGTTCTGTGTGTTCTGAGAATTCATTTGATTCACAGAGGGAATGGAAAGTATCAATTAATCTAGTGAGTTAAGTGAAAGCCAATTAGGAGGGCTTCTATAGTAAATATCTCTTTCCTCTGCAAGATGCCTTTTTAAAAATAACCTTTGTTCCTTTACTTTTTAATGTCCTTGGTCTCTGGTTTTCACTTACATAGAGGCTCACTTACATTCTTCATTCACATCCATCCAGGTCTTTGCAATCTCTCTCTTGGATTATTCTTAAAAATCTCAACTGGTTTCCCTATCTCCTCCAGTCTCTTCTTCCTCACATTTTACAAAGGCTCACCTCTAATAATGTTTGGTCTTGTTCAAAAGCCATTGATTTTCTGTGTTAAATTTAGTCATTAGGGCAAAGTCATTAAGAGAAGGGGTGGTCAGTGATAGAATTTCCTAATGATATGTTTTTGTGGTTTCTTCTGTCTCTCTTTCCTACCATAGCCAATACATTTTAGGGCCCACAGGTAAAAGGCCCAGTAATTCTGCCAGCATACAAGAAAAGAGACACATATCTCCATTGTTATGTGAACTGTATGATACAGAGTTGAGGTGAGAACTCATTCCTTCTCTTCCTCTCTGCCTAAGTGGAAACAATTTTATTGTTAGTTTCTTTTCATAAAAATGATGTTATAATTTCTTACCTTCAAGCATAATCTGATATATTAAGCACATAGACACTAAATAATTTGTCAAGGTACATTAATAGAAAAAGGTAGTTATCACAAAATAGATACTATAATAATCTATAAAAACATAGATTTAAACATTTTAAGTCACAATGTATAAGATATAATGTTCATTTACTAATAATATATGTTTCAAAAGGAAAAGTATCAATAATATAATTACCGTAGTTTTCTTTGCTTGTAGTTCAGAAAAGTGAAATTCAGCTTTTACTCTATCTTCTGAATTCACAGGAATTCCATCTAACATCTGTAAGTTAGGTAGTCGAAATATGAGCACATGACGATGTAGCATTTTTCTGCAAATCTAAAGAAAGTTAAACATAACAATTTATTACTAAAATCACTTTTACTTCAAATATTAACCTTAAAAAGAAGGCAGTTTAACAAAGACAGCAAAGATGATGGGTAACAATTAATTTATAATATTAGATACTACAGATATGAGCCCCTTTTAATTTCTTATCATGCTAAATGCAGGTAAGAATTTTTTTTTTTTAGAAAAAACTAAGGATATTACTAAGGCTATACTGTAAAGTACTGTTATTAACTACAGGCAATCAATTTTTGGACAGAATTACATTATGAAAGTTTGTTGAAAGTTCTGGAGCTTACATGATATTTTCCAAAAGGAACTATCCTATTTAAGTTAGTACATATCTATATATGCACCAACTCTTCCTAGTGTCAAACTACTCCCCTCACAAAAAAAAATTATAAACATGCCTAAGAGGGTATGTAGAAAATGTTAAATTTAGTAGGCCTGAACTTTAGAATGGTGTGCTTGTACAGATAGATGGCTCTTGCCTGGTTTTTGGTACTTGGAGTGTTCCCACCATTCCTTAACTGATAAGGGTAGTTCACTGTGCAATATGATTTGTACTCAACCTGCTTCCCTTCTGAGAATCTGGAATTTTGGCACATGATTAGGAGAGGGTCCCCTATGTGATTTATGTAATCAGTTTCCAACAAAATTCTGTTCCATGTAATTTCTCACAGGCATGAGCATGAGGAAGTCTGCATGTAGATTCCTCCAGACTTTCCCTTTTCATCTGCATGTGTATCCTACTCTTAACCATGTCACTGTAATTAACTATTTTAAAAAAAGATGGTAGATACATATACACTAATGGAGAAGTATCTGTAACATATATGATTGATTTAAAACACACACACACACACACACACACACACACACACACACACAGACCAAACAACTGAACACATTCAAGGCCACAAAACCAAGTATCATAAGTACCAAAATATAGAATATTTCCTTTGATTGAAGTAAAATAACATCAGAAATAAATGACAAAGAGATAACTAAAACCACACTAATTATTTGAAATGAATACAAAGACATGCACAACAAATTAAAGAAGCAATCTTTTGGAAAACAGATGATTTTAAGAATAAAAAATAGTTAAAAAACTAGGGCTGGAATTATGGCTCAGCAGTAGAACACTCGCCTAGCATGTGCAAAGCCCTGGGTTCAATCCTCAGTACCACATAAAAATAAATAAGTAAAATAAAGATATTGTGTCCAACTACAACTAAAAAATAAATATTAAAAATCTACAAATCAAAACTTTTAGAATGCTGCTATACTCTGTAACCTAAAATTTATAAATTGATTCAGAAGAAGTATTGAAAATTATTGAGCTAGGTATCCTATTTAAGAATTTTTTTGAAAAGAAAATTTCAAGAAACTAAAAGAAAAAAAAAAAAGGTAGAAATTAGTGAAACAGCAAAGAAATAATAGCCTTAAAACCCCAAATCTCATTCTTTGAAGTAACTAACTCAATAGACAAACCATTACCAAGATTTATCAATAATAACAAAAACCCCAAATTGACAATTTTAAATATAAGAAGGGTGACAAAAATCACAGGGGAGACTTTAAAAATTCATGAGTACTATGATAACAATACATAAAAATTTAGGTAAATTTTTCAAAGAATTTTTACAAACCATTAGAACTAGAAAAATAGTTCACCAAGTTTCCTAGACAAAGAAAAATATACAAAACCCAGAATTTCTTTACTTCTACAACACCAAAAATAGAAAAATACAAAAAAGTACCATTTAAAATAGAAATTAAAACAACAGAGTAAATCTAGCCAAAAATGATTAAAATCTTTAAGGAGATAATTATGAATCTTAATTGAAAGAAAAAAAAAAAAAAAAAAACAAAAGGAAGATACATGTGTTTTATGAGAAAGCTGAATGCTGTGTTAGTGGAGACTGCTTATTGCCTGTTTTCTTTTTTGTTTTTTTAAATATTTATTCATTTTTTTAGTTGTAGTTGGACTCAATAACTTTATTTTATTTATTTATATGTGGTGCTGAGGATCGAATCTAGGGCCTTGAACGTCTAGGCAAGCGCTCTACCGCTGGGCCACAACCCTAGCCCCTTGAATGTTTTCTTCTTGGTAGAAGTACTATAGCTCCTTGATATAGTTCTTCTAGTTTTTCAACCTCTTCATTCCCTCTCCACTAGTAAAAGCAGAGTGACTTAACTGGTAGATCTGGGAAGAGTGAACTGAGGATTCTTGAATCCTCCTTTCTTCTTGGGAAAGAGGTTATTGCTGGGAGAATGTGTCCTCCCACGTAGAGAAGTCTCAGTCTAGTATTTTCTGCCTCTGCGTGATCAGGATTGCCTATTTCTGGGATTAGGTAGCATGCCTATTTGGCTTTCTCACTGAAGGGATCCTGCTTTACTGAATGCAACCATCTTGAGACTTCTATGAGTATCCCTATGTAACCCTGTTATGTTTTCCCTAAATAATTTCCCAGCATACTCTAAATGAACAATAAACTTTAGAGGGTTATGTGGGGCTTTACAGTGCCAGGAATGTGCCTGATGTTTTTGATATTAGCTTGAGATAGATCAGAACATTCTGGCTCAGATGAAAGTCACTTTTGTGCTATTATCTAAACCCTTCCCTCTGACCCAAATCACAGAGATCCAGTGGTCTTGTTGTGTCCTTCACCATACTTGCCAGCAAGTCCCAAATAAATTGCACTCCATGTAATACGAGATCTGTTTGCCTTTCTTCAGTCTCACAGAATCTTGCCATCAGTTCTTTTATACCAGATCCAGAATACTAAGCTAAGAAGATATTTTAATTTCTTCACTGTCATTTTTTCCAGTTTGTTCAGATATTAGGTAAACAAAAGTGGTACTTATTGGATCCTCTTGAAGACTCCAACAAGAAAGGTGGCAAATTTCCCTCAAAATTAATTTAGAAATGAATTCAATTCCAATTAAAATACTAACAAAATTTTCATATAATTTGAGAAATTTGTCCAAAAATCATAGGCAATTTTAATGGGCCAAGAATCACTAAGGCAGTAAAGAAAAAGAAACACATAAGGAGAAAGAGAAGGAGATAGAATAGAACAATATTTGGAATCTCTTACTCTAACAGACATTAAGACAATATAAAATGTTAGTAATTAAGACAACATAAAAATACTAGCACAACACTAGACAAACAGGCAAATGAATACAATGTAGAACCCTGAAATAGACCTTATATAAGATGTAGCAGTTTTCCCTGTAATCAGGTAGAAGACACTATTCAATAAATTGTGCTGGACCAATAGTTTTTTTTTTTACATTAATCAATAAATTAACTGGCTATGCAGATAAAATTAATATTATAAAGTCTTTCTCAAAAAATAAATTACATAAATAAGTAAATTAATAAATTAGAAAGGTAACATACTCACTGGATTGCCATAAACTGTAAGCTCCCTGAGAGTAGAGATAACATCAAGTTTTTCCAGTTCTGTGATATCCTGTTAAAAAAAATCAATCAAATTATTTGATTAGACCCAAAATTTTAAAATATGGACTTACTTTATGTAAATGCTGGATTGCAGGCAGCTCATAATTAAATCCTATGAAGTGAGCCTGAGTGAAAATTTTTTGCATGTTGAATAAAGGCAGATCCATCTACTGTAGATTCAAAATATATGATTGAAAGAGATAATATTAGTTTAACATGGAAAATGTAAGCAGTGCTTACAAGAAAAGACCAAATAGTTTTTCAGAAGAGTTATAATTTATTCTATGGCTTAGATTATATTTAGCTAATTCCTCCAGAGTATTGATCCAGAAGTGTGGGAAAAGGTGAATACAGTTAAAAAAACAATATCAAAGATACATATTTAAATATAATCTTAACAACAAAGGAACAATCAAGTGGACTACATTTGTTGCTATTTCCAAAATTTAACCATCAAACTTCACCTAAGATTTTTACTAGTTCACATTAATACAATGAAGTTATTGATATACCTAAATTTACATTTGGAATTACAAGTGGATACATACAGCCAATTCATCTATATTTAGACCTATTTTATTCACTTGGAAGTGGAATTTGATTTTTAAATTGACTGATTTTTTAAAAATTATTTTGATTTTGGAGACATCGTAAAGGGGGGCTTTGAAAACACTCAACATCTAGTGATCTATAGATATTGTGCCTTTTTACCCACAGGCAGTTCCTATCTATGGCATCCAAGTCTGATTAGAAGTCAGAAACACATGAGAAGTTTGTACATTATTTTTTCAAAGTACAGCAGTACTTATTAGTGAACTATCCTTAATTGAAATATTCATTTCTCATGAAATATATTAATGCAAGAACAATATGTTAAAATTTTAGAGGATAATTGTGACATAAACTTTTAAAGAGATAACAAGCAAACTAATATGTCCATAATTACAGAAAGAGAGCTTTCCATTTTTTTATACAGGCCATTTTTTATAGTTCTGTGCTGGAGTTAATTTTTACTGGCTCACAAAAGTTGATTGGTATATTTTCAGGAATTTTACAGGATGGTGTTTTAGTTTGCAATTGACCATGGTAGAGGAAATTATAACATGGAAATTGGCAAATGCTACTAATTAGGGCTTTTTCTTCTAAAAGTTATACATTAATCACCAGCACATCAGTGGTTATTAGCTTTTGAGTACATTATCAGGATAAGAACTTAAAACAGTCACAGTAAAGGTCTGTATTGGGGCTTTCATTTAGGTCAAGAAATACCAAAGATTGTTTTTCTGGTGTTATTTATGGCTTCGGGTTATTATCCAGATGTTTAAAAGTAGACAAAGTAGTTGGATGCATGATAGAGCAATCATTCAGACTCAGGAATTAAATGGGACTATAGAGTTGAACTTATCTTCATTTGTGTTTCTGTGATTCTTATAAGCAAGACTACAGGCCACAATTTTCCAAATTTACATTAGTGGAATTGAATAATTTATTCTAGGGCTAATTTATTCTAAGGCTAAGTCAAAACCTTCACACCAGAATCTATTAGATCAAATTAGGGACTGCATATACTTTCACATGAAGTATTATTGTTCTGCTAATTTTTATGAGCTTTTCCCCTCTTATTCTATGAATCATCACCAATCCAAAGGTTGTACTCTGACAGTCTAGTGGAAATTAATGTTGGTATCATCTTGTCCAAGTCAGTATAAATCTAGAGACAAAATTCTCCCCTCAAAAAATTTGAAATGAAAGTTAAAAATTTTAAAGAACATGGTTTTAAAACTTCAAAAGAATCTCTAACTTGCCCTTGTATTCCTCTGGGTTTGTTTTTTTTTCCTCCTAGTTAAATGTATGGTCACATTAAGGTACTATAATATTAATGGTTAGAATAAGTTTAATGGCAAAATGATCAATCTAAACCAATGAAAATCCATTTCAAGGGTGAAAATAAGGGATGATATCATTAAATAATCAATAAAACTCATCCTTTCATTCAATGATAAATGTGTCATTCCCCATGATTTATAATATAGTTTATCATTTAATTTTATTAGATTTGATAGCCTGACTAAGCATTACTCTGTTTAAGTTGCCAAGGAGAAAGTTGCCATACTAGCTGATCTGTCTATTCAGCCCCTTAAGGATGAACCAGGGGGCTGGTGAGCTAGGGGGACACTCCTGGGGAAAACCCAATTACCTGGTAAAATCTTGTAAGAATGCTGGTAACTGGACATCCTGTCAAACAGAACAATGATATTTGTTGGGAAGAAGGTCTTTATAGTATTCTCTTAGCTGATCTGCCTGGCTAAGGACTGTTTACAGTAAATATATCTGGAGTCCTTAGAATTATAAGGTAGCTCCCTATATAATGTCACATAAGCTCAAGTTATAAAATGGAAATGTTTCATAAATGAAACACTCCCTTGCTATATGAGATTACTTCACAGAATCTGACTTGCAGACCTCATCTTTTAGTGTAGATAATGTGTATGATGTGGGAATAAAGCACCTGCAAAGCATTGAAATGTTCCTATAGTATTCTTGAAATTATTAGTAAAGCCTGATGCCAGATAAGATCTTTTTCTTTTCCTTTTTCTTTCTCCCCTCTCTCTTCTTTGTCTCTGTCTGTCCATCTCTCTTTCATGCTGGGGACAAAACCAAGAGTCTTGCACATGCTAAATACATATTCTTCCACTGAGTTACACTCCTGGCTATAAATCCAATTTGTCAGTCCTATGCTTAACCCAATTGTTATCACTGGAAATATTTCCAATAAAATAGCAATTTTCCAAATTTAGATTTCTTCTAAGTAAATCTTTGGAAGAATCATCACTAGTTTGGTAGGCTTTTCACAGATGAATGTTTGAATCTGGGTAAATTAGTTGTATATTGTTTTTCTCTGTATATACATTCTCTACTTGCTATGTAGAAAGGGGCACTGCTCATGATTTCCTTCTAATCTTAGGAGAGAGCTTTTATATCACCCAGAAAAGGCTTCATGAACTATATCAAAGAAGACCATAAATATTTATCAAGCATCTACTCTGTACCATGTATATGCTATATACTGATAGAGATGTAAACAAGATAAATTTTTTCCCAGACCTAGAGAAGCACTTCAGAGTTCAGTCTGTTGTTGAGGATTTAGAAGTATGGACAGAAATAGAAGAGTGAAAAGAAGTAGCGGGACATTACTGAAATGCTAATAAAAATATAAGGACTGCATAAGATAATGTATTCAGCTCTCTTATTAGTACAGTATCTCAGGAGAGAGTCTAAGCAGACTCTGTGGCTTAAAAGTAAAAGTGGCCTAAATAGGTAAAACTAAAGGGAATCTGTAAGGAAGACTTGAGTGGGAAGAGTTGTAATATCAAAGCCATTATAAGGAGTTGAATCAAAATACATGTAGAACAAGTATGCAAAATTTTATGAGCAAGAGGAAGTCTGAAATTGAGACTCAAAACCCAGCTGAATCAATAGTAGTCAAGGAACAAATGATAAGTCTAGGAGAAGACTGATGAGACAAATCTGAGAACATTTAGAGCCAACGGTTATCAATGGGTGGACATGTCTGCATCACAAAGTATATGCCTCAAAATATACATGTATATAAATGATAAATAACATTTACATACTAGCAAAAATTTCATTGGTATGTTTGGAAGCTTTATGTTTAGTGTTTAGAGGAATTAAAGCTTTATAAATCTCAATACAACAACAACAACAAAAATGTTACCTGGATTTTATTATATCCTAGGAAGAGTTTCTCTAGTTTTACCAAAGGTTGCAATTTGCTCAGCTCTCGTAGTCTATTTTCCTCCAGATGAAGTGCCAAGAGAGAACTTGGTTTGGCAAAAGCACTGTCATTAAATGCTCTGATGCGGTTATGGTCTACCACCAATTCCTGAAGGACTGCTAAGTTGTCTAGCCCTTCAACTTGACTGATTTCATTCCCTAAAAAAAGACAAGTCATGATATATGAAGTGAGCCAAAATTTTAAAAGTTATCTACCTTCTTCTCTATATTTTTTGAGGGGGGTACCAGGTATTGAACTCGGGGGCATGCGACCACTGAGTCACATCCCCAGCCCTATTTTGTATTTTATTTAGAGATAGGGTCTCACTGAATTGTTTAGTGCCTTGCTTTTCCTGAGGATGGCTTTGAACTCGAGATTCTCCTGCTCAGCTTCCCAAGCTGCTGGGTTATAGGTGTGCACCACCATGCCTGACTCACTTAAATGTTTTTATCAAATGACTTAAAAAGGTAATTTTCATTTTTATGTCTCAAAAGGTTTACAAACTGATTGTTCTCTAACCCCAGATAGCAACTTCCTCAAAATGACATTAGATAGCTTTAGTATGTCCTTTTGCCATTATGAAATGCAATTATGCAATTTTGCAATGAAATTATGAAAATATCTTGGATTCTTTTGATCTCCTTATATATCTAATTAGTCATTTTGACCTAATATTTCGTCTTTTTAAGTTGAAGATTAAATGAGATATGTAGACAAACATCTTGCCCAATGACTCCATAAGTGGTAGCTATCATTGTCAGAGTATGTTGTCTCACTCCTTATATAGAGCTGCCCCACTTGGATTTGCCATGCTAACCATGGCAACTGCACAATTCCCCCTTTACATTATTAGATTAAAATAGACCTTCTATGGTTAGGTTTTCCACTTTTTGCTATGTCAATGTATCTTTTAAAAGGTCTGTCATTATTATGGTTAATTTCTTGATTTTTTTCCTTTTTTTTTTGTTTTTTATTTTTCTCTTTAAGGGTAAGTCTCCATGTTCTTGATCCCAGTACCTTTGATAGGCAAAAAAATACATTAATTTTTTAGAATATAGTCTGAAAAACCTGTCTTCCTGAAAAAAAGTGACTATCCAAATTTCTTTCCATGTCTCATAATGAATTTTGTGTGATGTTAAATAATTATTGTTAGATAATGTTCCAAACTCCATGGGTTTTTTAATGCCACTTTTCTAAAAAATTTACAATTCCTATCTATTGTTGACTATATTCTGTCTAAATTTCTCTGTCTGGCTTTCCTTAGTTTGGTCCTGCTCAGTATTTTTAACTTCAATTCTTCACTATTCCACAAAATTAAAAAAAATAATATAAAGTGATGAGGCTTACTTAAAAAACTAAATAAAACAAATAACTCATATCAGGCTAGTCCCTTTTTAAGTGTTGGCCCACAGACATTGCAATTGTGTCCTATGACTCTTTTCTTCCTCCCTTGCAAAGCTCTCAAAAATGATCATTTATAATCAAAATTATAGAGGAGTTAATCTTTCAGTTTCTCCTCCTCTGAACTTCTATTGCACTTACTTAGTAACACATAGTTAAAACTTAATTCATCTTTGTCTCAGTACATCTCCTCAAGTAGATCTTAAATTACTTCAGATTGAGGATCTCTATTATGTATAATTGCAATAATACAGTACTTTCATAGTACTTAGAACAATTTTGACTTGGGAAATATTTGAGTTAATGGTTAATTTATATTGTTTTTTAAATAGAATATTATATAAAAGTAAATTATGAGGTAATACTGTATGTAGCCCCAGAATATTCTATTTTCCTTCAAAAAATGGTTTTGAAAATCTGCATATAACCAAAGAAAAATTCATATGTGATTATTAAAATATTTTTGCTAATAAATATTTAAATAAATGTTGATACTTGAATTTACTATCAAAACAAGATGAGATCAAGTTGATTTAAAACATTTTGATATTAAATGTTTCTACTTACCCTGTAGAAAGAGGAATTTTAAATTTCTTAGTCTGTTAAGTTGTAGCTGGATTAAATTACAAATTCCATTGTAGCCCAAATGAAGAACCTCTAAACTGTGCATTATTGGAGGTAAATTTTCACTGCTCATTGTATCTCTGAAACACATAAGTTTCAGAACATAAACCTAATTTGAAATCAGCTATCATAAAAAGATAGTCTGATATTGTATTTGGTATAAATTGAAATTATAAGAGAAAAATGAATTGATTAATATATCAGAATTGAGCTATAAAATGTATAATCTTATATTTTAAGTAATATTAATTTTATTTTTAGTTTTATGTGGTAAAGAATAAAGATGCACAGAAAGTCACAATAAAAAGTGATAGCTAATGCAATCAGAAAAGAAATAAGTAAAGTTGTCTTTATTCTCAGATGACAATGACTCTGTATTTAGAAAATACAAAGAAATACATCAAAAGACTATTTGAATAAATGAGTTCAGCAAAATCACAAGATAAAATAATATATAAAAATCAACTGCATTTCCAATATTAGCAATAAATAATCTGCAAATGAAATAAAGAAAGCAATTCTATTCACAATAGTATTAAAAGAATAAAATACTTCGGAATAGATTTAATGGAAGAAGTGTAAAATTTGTACACAGAAAACTATAAAACATTGCTGAGAGAAATTAAAGATCTAAATAAATGAGGAAATATTTCATGTTTGTGCATTAGAAGATAATAATTATTTCAAATTGATTAATAGATTCAATAGAATCTCTATTAAAAGCACAACAGCTCTCCATTCCCATGGAAAATAATCCTAAAATTTATAAGGAAATGCAAAAACCCCAGAATATTCCAAACCCAACTTGAAAAAGAAAAAAGTTAGAAGGCTTAAATCCCTGATTTCAAAACTTATTGTAAAACAGCATTCCAAACCAATCTGGTACTGGCACAGAGATAGACACACAGACCAATAGAATGGAACTGAGTCCAGAAATCCACTTTCACATTTTGATCAACTGACTTTCAATAAAGGTGACTAGGCAATTCAAGAAGGGAAAGATGTGTTCTAAACAAATGGTGTTGGGACAATTGGATCTCTATATGCAAAATAATGAATTTTAGTCCTCATACCTAATCTCACAATATGCACAAACATTAACTCAAGATAGATCATAGGTCTAAATGTAAAAACAGAAACATAAAGCTTTTTGAGAAAAATGTGAAAAAATCTGGGACTTAAAGTTAGGCAAAGAATTATTAGAAATCATCAAAATCACAATCTGTAAGAGAAAAAATTAATCATTTTATCAAAATTAAAATTTCTTCAAAAGACACCACTTAATAAAAAGATAAACTACATATTGAGAAAAATATTTGTAAATAATTTATTTGAAAAAGGGCTTAGTATCCAGAATATTCCAAGAACTAAATATTAAAAAAGCCACATAATCAAAATTAGCAAAGGATTTGAACACACATTTCACCAAAGAAAATATATGTCAGGTTTAAATAAATATGTGAAAAATCTGCCCAACTATATTACTCATTAGGGCATTATGAATTAAAACCTCAATGAGATGCCAATTGAAATCCAATAGAATGGATGTAATGAAAAAACAGTCAATAACAAGCGTTAACAAGGATATGGAAAAATTAAAATACATAATATAATGTAAATGGTACAACTATTTTGGAAAGGTGGCATTTTCTTAAGCAGTTAAACACTAAATCACTCTATAACCCAACACCTCCATTTTTAATTATCTATCCAAAGTGTCTAACCAAGAGGAACATAATGAAAATATAAGTGCACATAAACATTTGTTCACAAATGCTTATTTTTCATAAGGCCAAAAGTGGAAATAATTCAAATGTCTATTAACTGGTGACTGGATAAACATAAGATAGCATATACATACAACAGAATATCTGAACTCCTAATACATGCCACAGAATGGATGAGGCTCAAAATCATTATTCTGAGTGTAAGAAATGAGATGCACAAAACCACTTATTATATGGTTCCACTTTTTTTATTTTTTATTTTTTTTAGTTGTAGATGAACACAATATCTTTATTTGTTTATTTTTATGTGGTGCTGGGGATCGAACCCAGGGTCTCACATGTACAAGGCAAGTGCTCTACCACTGAGCTACAGCCCCAGCCCTATATGGTTCCACTTACATGCAATGACTAGAAAACATAACTCCATAGAAAATAGATTAGAAATTGTTGAAGTGAGAGGTATGAAAGGGAATTGACTGAAAATGGACCCCAAAGATCTTTTCAGTGTAAAGGAAATGTTCTAAAACTCTATTTCAGAAATGATTACATAATTATAAATTTAGTAAAAATCATTGAATTATACATTTAAAATGAATTAACATGGCATACACATGCACTTCAATAAAAATGTTAGAATAATTGAATATGAAGAGTTCCAATATAAAGGATGTGTATAAATGTTCATGGTGACTTTAATCATAATAGCCTCAAACTGGAAATATCCCAAAATGCCCATCAATGGTAAATAGATAAACAATTTTTGTATAATTTTGTGATTCAATTCATATAATGTAATACTACTCATCAATAAAAGGGACTACTGACACTTGCAACAATTCAGATGAATCCCAGAAGCACTGTGTTAAGTGAAAGAAGTCAAGACACAAAAGAGTAATTACTATGGACTTCCAATCTTATGAAATTCTAAAAAAAAGCAAAATAATAGTAGTGGAAAGTGGATCAGTGATTGATATGGGTGGGGATGTGGGAGGAGGAGATTGCAGAGAGATAAAAGGGAATTTTCCTGGGGTGGGAACATTTTGTGTCTTGATTGAGATAGTGATTATATGACTGAATATATTAGTTAAAATTCATTAAATGTACACTTAATGAATATTTTATTACATTCAAATTGTACTTCAATAAAAGTGATAAGCACAAGGAATGTTCTTAATTGGGAATACTGGAAATGAAAGTATTCTGACTGATACATGTATTATATATTCTCTCTTTATATACATATACATAATTTTCCTACCCATATATATGAACATATATATTAAATTACATACATAAAGTTGAAGTATCTATTTATGAAGTTCATACACACATATATATACAAGGTGTGTTTATGTATACATATATGTGTGTTGTGTATATATATACATTTATATATATATTTATATAAATATAAATAAGATGTGTCCTCATTTTCATGAAGTACCTTTTTATCTTTGCCATTGATATTGGGGCATTAAATGTACAGATAAATAATTTAGAAATAAAAAGAAAACAAATATTAAGAGAAACCTAGGCCCATACTACTTGAATAAAGGATTCCTTTTTAGCATGATAAAAATGTTCTGGAATTAGATAGTGGAGATGGTAAACAAACAATCCTTGTACTGTACACAAAGGGTTAATTATATTTAGAATGTGAATTGTATGTCAATTAAAAAAAAACTCAAGGTCACTGAATCTACAGTGACCTTGAGGTTTTTTTTTAAAATTTTTTTTTCTTTATTTACAACCTAAGTATGAAATGGAGGAAGCAAGGATAAAATGTCCAAAGGAATAGTTTCTCATTTGTTTATTGATATCTGGGATTGAACCCAGGGTTGCTCTACCACTGAGCTATATCATCAACCCTTTTTATTTTTTATTTTGAGACAGGGTCTCACTAAGTTGCTGAGTGATCCTCCTGCCTTAGCCTCCCCTCCAGAGTTGCTGCAATTAGAGGTATGTGCCACCATGCCTGGCTGCAAAGAATAGTTTAAGTATTTTCTTTTTATTTGAGAAGTTCACTTTTGACATATAGCTTTTGAATAAAATAATTAATAAAATAAGTTAAATTATGTACTGGAACATATTATTTTAAAATTCCCAATAAAAATTATTTGTAATTTAAAAAAGAATTGTACCTATTTATTTTTGAAGTTCCTTGTTGTCCATAACCACTTGAAGGTACTTTCTGGTAAAGTAGTTGTCTATTAGTTAAGTGAGTCTGAGGCTTTAGTCTAGGCATGATTGATTCAATATGATTATAGTTGAGGCATAAGACCTATGGGAAGAATATCTTATTAATCCAATATCCTACAAACTATTAAAATTATAAGGAAAAACTTGGAATATGAACATAATTTAATAAAATATTAGTGTTAAAGATAAGTTTTTATAACCCAAATTATTTAGATTTAGTTTTAGATGTATTTTTAATTAACTTATATGTTGGAAAATTATAACACCACACATAAAATAAGAAAGACTTGAGAAAGCTACACAGCTTTCTCAATCTGTACTTCTGAGGCCTTATTTGGTGTCTGAGTTGAAGTAACAGGAAAGGAGACAATGAGGCTGCTTGAAGAACCTTAGCATTCTCAACTTCATGTCATACCTTCTCACTATGGAGGCAGCCTTTTATCCCCTCTCCTCCTGCAGAGTAAGATTTACTGCATGCAAGACAATCAATGAATGGAGGTCAAATCAAAATAACTTTGGGAGGTAATACTTTTTCTTGACTAGTAAAAAATAAATAAATAAATAAAAACCAAAAACCTTTGGAATAATTTCTCTGCTCTAGTAAATGGAAATATATTTTAATTAAAAATAAAGAAGATTACAATTTGCATTGAAAACCTAAAACAAAAAAGAGAAAAGATTTGTAAGTGACTCACCTTCACATTCGGCAGATAGATTAGTCCACTGAAAGAGGTAAGATTATTGTTCTGTAGGTTCACATTACTCACATTTCTAAATTGGTCAACTGGGATCAAATCTACAGTTCTGAATTTAAACAAAGCAAATATAGTTATTATTTTAATAGGACAGAAAAAAACTTCCTATGTTTTTTGAGTTCCTCCATATATAAACTCCTAAGGGTATTTTTTAAAAGATATCTGACAAATACTATGAAAAGTAATTGCCTTAATATAAAATGTGGGAATCAAAATAAACAGCTAAATACATATTTTTGTTGGGCACATGTGTAAGAAAATGATAGAATTTGATTGTTTTAAGAATGCCTATTACCACATAAACATAACACTATTGCAAAAGAAACCTTATAAAATAAAAATCTGTAATTCATTTATAAATTCACTACATGTCCATAAAACCATGGTGAAATTGATAAGGTAAAATTTTAAGATTTTGAGGTTATAAACTTCAGAGAATATATATGTAAATCAGATTATTTCTGAAATGACAGGAAGTGGATAGGGACAGTAAAGAAAAGGAGAAAGTAGTGATGGCATTGGAAAACAGACCCCTAATATATTTAGGTATGATGACGTTTTAGGGAAAGAAAACCTATAGGAAGAGAAAGAGCTTGAGGTGAGACTTTGAGGATTTGACCCATAGGTGTTAAAGCAAATTAGTAGGGCTGACAGTGCAATAGGCACAAAGGCAGAGAAGCATGAAAACAGTATCTTAAGATTAAGATTTGGAAGCTAGAATATTTCAGAGTTTCTAAAGTATAAAGTGTCATGAGAAGCAAAGGTAAGAATTACAAAAGATAAAAATTATTCTACGCTACACAGAATTTTAAATTTTATTCTGTAGACAATGAAATCCACTGACAATGTTGAAAAAGGAAATGATATGATAAGACTTGCATCTTAGAAGGCAATATGGGTAACAGAATGGGTTTTCAGGGAAGGTTTATGTAAGTCAAACAAAAAGATCACCAAAGGAGTTTCTAAAACAGTTTACTGCAAATGGCAGTGACTATGGAAAGACAAAGGAATTTTGAGACGAAATTCAAACATGGATCTATTGACAAAGATGGTGATGAATTAAAAATGGAAAACAAAATATTTCTTTCTTTCTTTTTTTGGCTTGGGTAGATGCTGTCTTTTAGATACTATCTACAGAGCAATTGTATGCTCAGGTGATAATAAGTTTGGGCTAAATATGGTAAATTTGGGATTCATCACCAAAAATTAAATCTTGTTTGCTCAGGAAGAGTACAGAATAAGAAAAAGATGAGAAAAGGAGAGGGGATTATAAAAGAGAAGTAAGATAGAATAGAAGGGGGACTAAGGATGAAATTCAGAGATCATCAGAAAGTTAAGAACTCATAAAGAAATCTGAGAATGTTATAGAAAAACCAAGAATGTGGGGGTTGGGGATGTGGCTCAAGCGGTAGCGCGCTTGCCTGGCGTGCGTGCGGCCCGGGCACCACACACCAACAAAGATGTTGTGTCCGCCGAGAACTAAAAAATAAATATTAAAAATTCTCTCTCCTCTCTCTCTCTCTCTCTCCCTCCTCTCTCACTCTCTCTTTAAAAAAAAGAAAAAGAAAAACCAAGAATGTGAAACTATGGTTTAGAAAGGGAGATAAGAATGCTGGGCATAATGGTGCATGCCTATAATCCCAGTGGCTTCTGTGGTTTTCATCATAGATCTTTCACATCTTAAATTGATTCAGATTAGAAATTTGAGGCCAGCCTCAGCAATTTAGTGAGACCATAAGCAACTTAGCAAGACCCTATGTGAAATTTTAAAAGTAAATTAAAAAAAGGGTGGGGATGTGACTCAGTGGTTAAGAACTCCTGGGTTCAACCCCCAGTTTAACTCCCCCCATCCCCCAAAAAAGGGGATATACGAAGTGAAAGAGGAATCAGCATTCTTGGCCCCTCAGAGGGGTCAAGTTTGATAAGAACTGAAATCAGTTTATCATAGGAATGGTATATGGTTGGGAACTTGCTTAGCATTGATGATTCAATCCCTAGCACCACAAGAACAAAAAATGTGCCAGTGGAAGTACTGCTGCATTGGAATAGAGGGATAAGATATGAGCTGCATAACCTGTTCCTAGCATTGGTCTGGTTGCCAATCTGACATCATTGTTTATTAGTTTGTGTAATTTGGACAGGTTTTCTCCCTTGTTGGGTCATTACCCGCTCCCCCCTCCCCCGTGTCTTTCACCATGGGTTTCACTTAATCATGGTTTCCACATTGAGCTCTATACTCTGGCAACTGCAGGCTGTAGAGTTATGAGTGAAGACCTGGGAATCCATGTTATCAGACAAGTCTGGAACCTGAACAAAAGAATACTACTTTCATGTCTATTATATGTCTTTGATGATGCTGTTGTGATTAATAAGTTGCAATTTAAAGTGTTATAGAATTTTAAAAATTTTTATCTTCAAGATTTTCTTAAATAAAACATTTAAGTTTTTGCTAAAAAACTAATATATTTGGTTGAAAAGCAAAAGCACAATATCCAAGAAAGAAATTGATATTTGAAAACATAGTCTTATATAATAAAAAATTATTAATTCATTTCAAAGAATGGTAAAGTTAGCATGAATTTTGGAATAGGGTTGATGATTTATTGGTTATGGTTAGATAAGATGTATAAATGTATGAACTTCAGAAAAATCATCATAATAATTATATATTATAATATCAAAAGATATCTAATAAAGTGATTATACCTTATGGATGATGAAGTCCAATTTAATTCCTGCATTTGGGAAAAGTTTGAATGTCCTTGTCGTTCTGTAATCATATCAGAGGTAAGTCTTCCACCAAACAAATCTTTTGCACTCTCAGTCTCTGGTGGTTCCTATATAGGATACCAGTTTCAGGTAAAAATGGAGTGGACTGTATTCTTTCCACTAAGTACAGGTTAACCCCTGCTCATTATATATTTAAAAAACATGAGAATACTAAATGATGCAGAGAAGGTAGACTAGCTAGGGACCTTAGGACCTCACGAATGATAATCTGGATTTTCTTTTTGCCTCATTTATGTCATTCTGGTGCTGGAGAAACTATAAATGCCAAAATGTCAACAATAGGAAAAAAAAAAAAAAACCCAGTCTGTCTTCTCTAGGATATTGAAAGCCTCAGAAGACAGAAAACTTTTAAATAATAATATGTCTACTCCAGGTGAACACCACAACATATACTGTAGTCCTAACTTTATTCCCACCAGTAAAAGCAGAATGGGCTGCTCAGACTTGCCCAGTTGTAACAAAGCACTCCTCTGTCATTCCCCTGCGACTTGTCAGCTTGGACTTTTATCAGCTCCTAACAGTAATACACCCCCCCTTCCCCCCAAAAAAAGTATTACTTCAGACCAGATGGGGAGCCTGGATTCCCACTTCTACTTGGTAATAATGAGGTGTCTGTGGAGCATTAATGAGGTATTCCTACCTCTGTCAGCTAGGATGAATGAGTGGAGGCCTATGGGGAATAGTAACAAGGAGTCTCTCTCTTCCTCTCCTAACCAGAGAGAATCAATGGAAGCCTGGTGGGAAATATAAACTCCTACTGCAGTCTAGCAGTTAATTAAGATGTTCATATCAGGTTGTTAACAGAATCCAAGTGGGGGGAACTTGGATTTCTGTCTCTTACTGAAAACAACAAAGTAGTAGCCCAACTTCTCACTGGTATAGTATCAAGTGAGGTTTGCTAAAATAGAAGATTTGTGAAAAAAATTTGGACCTAATACCAGTACATCCAAAATAAAATAGGAAAAGCTCTCACCATGTGCCAAACTAATGAAATCTAAACTCAAGCATGAAAACACAACCAACAAACAACAACTTTGAAACAACACATATTTATAATTATTTGACAAAGATTTCAAAGCAGGCATCACAAAAATATTTCAACAAGCAATTATGAATGTTTTTAAAACAAATGAAAAAAATTGAATCTATCAGCAAAGAAGTAGAAAATATGAAGAAGATTGAAATAGAAATTTTAGAACTGAAAAATACAATAGAAATATAAATGCAATGGAAATAAATGCTCAACAAAAGAATGAAGAGGAAAGAATCAGTGAAGTTGAAGATGAATAATAAAAATAGAAAAACAGACAAAACCAAACAAAAATAAAACACTCTTCTTACCATGGGATTCATATAAGGAGAGAAAAAACAGATGAGGTTGAGAAGATATTTGAAGAAATAATAGCAGGAAATCCTCCAAATCTAGCAAAAGGCATAAACCTACAGATTTAAAAAGCTGAGTGAATCCAAGAACAGAAAAAATCCCCCAAATTCATGCAATGACACATAGACACGATCAAAATCAATCAAATTTCTGAAAACTAATAAAGGAAAAATTATAAAAGCAGTGAGGGAGGAGTAAAATTTTACCTAGGAGGACGAAACAATTTGAATGACAAAATATTTGTCATTAGCAACCAATAAACAGAGGATGTGGCACAAATATTTTTCAAGTGGCAAAATAAAATAATTGTCAACCTAGAATCCTATATATCAAGAGAAAATGTCATTCAGAAATGAAAAGGGGAATTAAGACATTTTCAGATGAAAGAAAACTAATCAAAGTATCAGAGATACCATAAAAGACAATTAATGGAAATTCTTAACCAACAAAAGGAATTTTGGAATACCAGGAAAGAAGCAAGTACAATAGACTTTCCTTTTTGAGTTTCTAAATTATCTCTGTTTGGTTAAAGAATAAAGGGATATCTGATGTGGTTCTCAGTATATACAGAGAATATATTTAAGATAATTATTAACAGTGGAGGAGAAATAATGGAAATAAGATTTCTACTCTTAATTAAAATGGGTAAAAATTTCAACAGTAGAGCTCATTAGGTTATGTATATGTAATATAGTACTTGGAGAAATCACTAAAATGTCTATTTGAACAGACATAAAAAAACCATTTACAGATAAATAAAAAATTTGACATATGTTCATTGACATATGTTCAATCAGCTCATAAAAAAACAGAAGAAAGCAGAAAAAAAGATATAAAAAACAAACAGGAAATAAAAACAAAATTGCAAACCTGACCACTAGCATGTCAATAACTACATTAAATATAAATGGCCTATATTCATCAATCCAAGATATAAATTGGTAGTAATAAAATAAAAAGACCCCACCTATCTTCTGTAAACAGAAAATCACTTCAAATAAAATGAGACACACAGGTTTAAAGCCTTCCAACAAAATAAAACCTGAGACTAGATGGATTCTCAGCCAAGTTCTCCTACACCTTTAAGAAAAACTAATGCCAATCTTCCTGAAATTATTTATGAGGTATAAAGGGAAGAAACACTCTCAAATTCATTTTGTGAAGCATGATCCTGATACCAAAACCAGACAAAGACACATAAAGGAAAGAAAATTATAGGATAATATCTCTGATGAACATAGATGAAATTTCATAACATATATATATGAGCTGAATATATTCTCTCCCTACTCATAAATCTAATGCATTTCTATTATTTCTCATTTAATGTCTAAGTTCTTCAGTCTAGTCTTCATGTAAAATTATTAATTTATAAATTTATATCATACCCCATTCTGTAAAGAACTTGTGGAAGTTTATAGGAAACACATATAATAAAATAGTAAAATGCAAATCACAAATAATGAAGAATCAGACTAAGAAAAATATAAGTTAAAATAGATAAAAACTAGGGTTAGGGACAGAGAGACCATAAGATCCTACTGAGTTATAAAATTTGGGCCTGAGCTTTTTAGTTGTCAAAGTGAGGAAAAAAAATAGTTAAACACTAATCATTATGGGTAAGAGAATAAAACTTTTCCTTAGAGGCAAAAAGGTTTTTTCTATACTTATCTCTAAAAGTATTTTCTCATGTGGTCCTTTGAATGAGGTCACAGAGAGATAGGAAGAAATGATTCTCAACATCTTTTACAGAAAATACAGAATAGTTTCATAAGACTGTTTTACTAAGCAATCCTCAATGAAAGCTAACAACTAAATAAAACCCAGTATATGAGATTCTAGAGAATATTTATTTATTGAAGTGAAACTGTTTTAGATTCTCTCAGGAGGACCCTTTAAGAATAAGGAAAGGGATTAGTAATTTTTTTTCAGAGCACCTGAGTACCAAATAATCGTGAACTGCCTTCTCAATTTCCTAAAAATTTGTAAGTTTTATTGACTAATGGGAGTTAGACAACATTACCCAAGGAAACTTTTTATTCTTCACGCATTTGTCATGTATTTACCCTGTCCCATGGAAATCATGAGCCTCATATGAACTTGCTTTTTATAGAATCCAAGTTTCTAAATGTTGCTTTTATATTCAGCCATGAATTCTCTGTGTGTGTGGTTTTTTAAAATTTTTACCATTTACTAGTGATATAGTCATACTACACTTGTTGGTTTTCCTTAATTACTAACAATCATATTTTTCCAAGAAATAAGAAGCTGGTTTTAGGTTTAAAGAGATAGTAAGGCTCCAGAGCATATTTTTTTCCTATCCCGTTCCACAAAATTATGCTCTTTACTTTTTAGACATTGATCTCAGTGGGTATAAATGTAAGCATCATATTCCTCCCTTTCCATCTCAATTTAGACAATTAAAAATTGCCCAGATGAGAAAAATTTAAAATCCAGATCTAAAATGAGTTTTGGAGACTGAGATCTTAATAAACAGTAAATTTTGGTAAGTGATAAATAGTGATAAGTCAGTGTTCTAAATAAATGATTATGGCCTATGAGTATATGAATTTGCTGCTTGAACCAAATGCTATGAGTCATCAAACAACTTACAATTGAGATTCCATCCAAAGCTTTTAATTCTGGAAGATGAAATATTACAAATAATCGGTAGTTTTCTTGATTCCATACAATAATGTTTCCGTACACATCTAGAATGACCAAGTTGCATAAACCCTAGGTAATAGAAGGTATACATCATAACCCAGAAAGTTTTTTTCCACTATGAGATTAAACACCCTTGAATCATCTATAATTTTATAGAATTTCAGTGTTTTTAGGTATAACTTTAAATGCAAGGGTTACCTTTCCAGACCACTAAGGTATATTTTTATGCCACATTTCAGTTTGATATATGTTATCTGATCAGAAGCCTTTTAAGGACACTAGACTTTCAGTGTTTTCTTTCAATGGTAAAGGCTTAGAGGGGAACTTTGATATCTTTTAAGACAATATATTTTGTTTATGGAATAATGGCCTATCAAATGGTATGTATGTGTATACACGGATATAAAAGGAATGAAAAGACACTGCCATTTGAAAAGAGATAAAAATGAGAGGGTGACAGAACACATCTTAAGGGAAAATGTGCTTTCTTACTCTATGAGACATTTAGTTGTGCTATGAAGGAAAGACCCTGAGTAGGACAGGATAGAAGTTAAAACAATAGGAAGTAAAATTTTTCTGCATCAAAATGTAAAATGGCTTATTTGGTGGCTGATGTTAATTAGGTTGGTTGGGTGACTTTAGAAGTTATTTTGTGGGAATAGGATGGGGATACACTGATGTAAGGAAAAACAGGAAATAGACACAAAATTTTGGTATAAGATAAAGTCCTATAACATGGTATCAGCAAAAGGACAAGCCAGTGTAAGATTCTCAGCGGTAGAAAGTGGCCACTGAACTTAACATGAAGTTGTTACATTACATTTGCAGTGAATTCCTGTTCTGTGCTATAAAAATCCTCCATTTCTTCCAAACCTTTAGTAAAGCCTGTTACACAGTAGCCTTGAATTAGTGATTCTTTTAGGGGAATTAAAGAGTACAAATCTGAGTAAAAGTGAAAAGAAAGAATTGGAACTATTGGTAAAAACAGAGAGATAATCAAGATTTGTACTGACAAAGGAGAATGTTAAGAAATCCTACTTCCCTATCAGGTCAGTCAATTCTTGGAAATACTGAAAGCAGCATATATGAAGAGAAATGGGCTTGGGTTCTTTTATTAAAGTATTAAAATAAAAAGTTATCAAATTGAGGTCATTATGGTTACACATACATATATGATTGTTCAGTATACAAATTAAATGCAAATGTATCTTAATAAACCTTATTATTCTTATTTTAATTTAGTTCTATAGATTTTTCTACATTTTTCAAATTCTTTACAGCTAACATACTTTGCTTCCAATGTATAGATAAATGTTTTAAAGAAACAAAAGTTAATAAATACCCCAGTTACCTTTAAATTGTAGATCTCCTGATTGAGAGCAATATAGTTATTGCTTATGTACAATTCAATTAGACTAACAGTTTTTTGTAAACCACTCAATGAAGTGATTCTGTTGTTCTCAAGAGAAAGGGAGTGAAGATGAAGCAAGTTATCAAAAACATGCTTTTCCAAACCAGTTAGAAGATTATTATTTATGCTGAGGCGAGTTAATTTAGTTAGCTTGGAAATGCCTAGAAAAATAAATAAATTCAAGAAAACTTCAGACAGCACTGAAAAGAAAATTTTAAAAATAACTGACCATTTACTGTTTCTCTTTATTTAAGTTCAAATGGCTTTAAAGATTCTGTAACCATCACTGCCTTTCAGAGGGAAACAAAAATAAATAAAATCCCTTTTCAAATATCTAATTCTAATTTTAGATTCATTTTTTTAGGTGTTAAGGAAAAGCACCACATAGCAAATACTTAATTTATCCATCAAATAACCTTAAAATGATATAATTAATCAGGACTTTCATCTTCAAGACAACACAAAGCTATACACAAAACTCAATTATCACCTATCCCTCATTTTAAAACATTAAGGTCAGAAATTGGAAAGGATTACTAATTATAGAATCACCTATACTTAAGAGAATCATTTGGCCTAATTTCCCCATGGTATGTTCAGAAACGCTCTAGGACAGTTTAGAAAATGGCCCCTCTAACTAGAATCTTACCCCTGTGTAACCTTTGCAGCTATAGGTCCTCTGTAATTGTGGGGGGCAAGATAGAAGATGGTGTCATAGTTGGTCTTAAATGTACCACTATTAGGTTTGGGACCATAGGTAAATTTTGAAACTTCTGAGCCTCAGTTTCTTCATCTGTAAAAGGATCATACTAAAATCTACTTTCAAAGGGTTGTGGAATTAAGTACAATGATCTTTGGAGAGGAAGAATAAGAGGAGTTGTTAGCAAGCCATAGAAGTTTTCTTTTAATTTCTTTCCAGATTCAAAGCACTAAAGGAGAATACAAGTAAAGCTGTGAAGGAATCAGAAAATATAACTTGGAATATTCTAGAACAAGCCCTCCAAACTCTGGATTCTTAGCTACAGATAAGCACAAACCCAAATGAAGTAAAGAATCTGGAAAATCTGAAGACAGGAATAGTCTTTCTTATTCTGTTTATTTCAGAAAAATGTTTTAATACTGAATTTTAAAAATTCAAATAAAACATATTACATTGGTCTCTTATTTTGAGACATTACTAAAGTTGCTTAATTGTACTTGCATGTAGATCCATTAAAAGGTTATAAATAGTACATTTGATTTTCATTTTATACTGAGTGTAATTATATTTGTTGAAGTCTTAAAATTTCCAAATACAAACTTAATTCCGTATTTTGCAAAATAAACTAGCTTATCTTTTTCAAGATATACATCATTTATCCTTTTATTCTATTTAAAGATATTAATAACTCCCTAGTTTGTATGTGCTAGGGAGTAGTAATAATTGGTAAATACTGGCACAGAGGAGAAGAGGAGGTCAAAGTCCACCTGGGCTCATTATGCATAGTATACCGTTTTCAACAATCTCAATAGGTATTTAGAATATCTGCTGCAAACCTTCTTGGAACTTCTCTAGTGATCATCTTCTTCAGAGATTCTGTCCTCAGTGTCACCATTTTTTTTGCTCCTGCTGTTTAGACATTCACATTTTGAGACTTCAAAGTTCTTGAGTGTCTTACCTTCTATCTTTGAGATGCAGTTTCCATCTAATGTGAGCTCTTCCAAGTTGATACAGGATTCCAAGCCTTCCATTTTAGTGAGATTATTATTGCTGAATGATGCCCATTTCAAATTTTCCAATTTTTCTAAATTTGTGATTTCAAAGAGATGTTGTCCATCTAAATTTAAGGCAGTTATCTATACAATAATTCACATTATATGTTACTTCTGAATCTTGTAAATAAATTCAATCAATGTTACAAGATAAAAAAATTGAACAATAGAGACCAAGACTGTGAGTTCAATAGGGACTTCTATGATATTAGGGACACTGACGTGCCAGTCAGATTCCTCCTACAGTAAAGAACTTGTCCCAGTTGTGGGCAGTGCTGTTGGTGGAAAGCCTACAGCTGTTAGCACCTCCAGGGACTACAGACAGCTGCCTTGACCAAGGTCACTTTCCTTCCCATGTTGGCCCATATCCAATAATGAAGAGAAATAAAGATCCGGGCATCTCAGTCTGACATGGGAAAAATTTAAAGGACACTTCTAATTCTAGGACTCCCCATGGAGTTGACCAAAGCTGTCATTGGGCCTGTACTGAAGCTCAGAATCAATATATACTCCATAATAAAAACGATGCTACTATTATCTTTCATTTTCAAGGACTCCCTTAGCCAAGTTTATATTTCTGGCAAGTTTCAATCTTTTCTTAGCCCAATTTTATCTGTCTTGTAGGCTCCATAAAGGACTCTAGTGAGTTCTAGTGACCTAATGTAACAAGATATTGTTAGTGCTCTATGGCCTTTCCCTTATCTGGGCTGAATTCTAACCAATTCTTCTATCCCCTTGCCAAGATTCATGATCCTTATCACCCAAATTTTGGCTTGATCCCTGTCTCTAATCCTTTAAAGTCTGCTGGCTGTTTGTGACATATTATCAGAATCTATCCTTTACTTTGCAACATACTTTTGTCCTAAATCTCTAATTCTACAGTAACAACAGTCAAAATCTATCACAACAGTGACATCTATCTACAACTTGACCTTTTTTATATTTTGGAATGTGATAAATTTATTACATTTTTTTCTAATAATAATATTGCCTTTTTATTTTTTCCAACTTTATGAAGTATAAATATAAATTTAAAGTTGTATATGTTTAATGTGTACAACTTCATTTGATATGTATACACTGTGATTTAAACACTGCATGATCTCAATTATATGTGAAATCTAAACTATTCAAACTCATGAATGCAGAGAATAGAATGGTGGTTACCAGGGGCTTGGGGCAAAGGGTTTCAGTCATGCAAGATTAAATCTAATGTACAATATTGTGACTAAAGTTAAAGATATTGTATAATATACTTGAAATTTGCTAAGAAGGTGCATCTTAAGTATTCCTTCCCTATTTTAATTCATCTCTTTCAATTTTTCCCCTTACCTATCTGTGCCCTCTTATGAGAGACCAAGACTGACTGACAACATCAATTTAAATTAAGCTTTTATATTAAATTTCATAGAATTAGCCTATACCTTCAAGTGCCAGTTTCCATTCAGATGTAAATGTGGTCCAAATTTTGAAATCTGTGTCAGAATTTTGGCAGAAGGCCAGATACTAAGTATCCGTGGTCTCTCCTCTTTGGTACTAGAATGCCGTAAGATAGATAGCTAATAAAATAAAAAAACACGATGAATAAAAGAAATAGCATACAGAGGTTCATTTATATATATTTAAAAAGTATTATTTCCTAGGTAAAATAAATGGCACAATACGTAATTTTTAAACAGGACAATTTGTTTGCCTTAACATGGTTTCAATATCTAGATGTATTTTTAAATATTCATTTTGTCATTTTAGCAAATATTGAACTATTAGAAGATAATATTTATAAAACCTTGAAGAGAATTACTATAACACAAACACCAATATAATCCATCCATTAAAGCAGCTTGAGAGTTAGAATATTACTAATACCTTATAAGGTCCCTGTCATGAATATATTTGAACTTAATGAAAAATGAATAATGTACTTTTCTATGACTTGCTTTGTTTGCTTAACATCTTATTTGTGAAATTTTATCTGTGCTTCCCTGTGTAGATGTAGTTCATTCATATGTCCCTGCTGTACAGTATTCCTGTATTCCCATAATGAGTCTCCTGCCAATGAACACTCAGGTTGATTCAGCGTCCTTGCCTTTTTGAACACTGTCATCATAAACATTCTTGTACATGTTTCTTGAAACATATATGTAAGAACTCTTTCAAGTATATGTCAGTAACTAATATTGCTGGACTGTAGGGGGTGGTGTGAGTGTGTGTGTGTGTGTGTAATAGCACCAAATTGTACCAATTTAACTGTTACTTTATATTCTTGCTGAAAGTTGTTATTGTCAGCTTTAATAAACAGTAGGTCATTGTAGTTTTAATGTTCATTTTCTTGAACACTAATGTGGTGAAGCATCTTTTCCTAATTGGTTGTTCTGATTTCCTCTCTAGTGAAATGTCTGTTCAAATTTTTTCCTCATTTTTCTGTTCAGTTGGTTGTCTTTTCCCTTACACATTCTGGATATATAAAGAATATCTTTTGACACTCCTGTTGCAAATTTCTTTCCCTAGTATGTAGGTTGTCTTTTTTACTTTCTTTATGGTATCTTATGCAAAAGACATATTAATGTTGATATAGGCAAAACAAATATTTTATGGTTTATGCTCTTGTTTCTTTCCTAAAAAATTCTTCCTTAGTTCAAGGTCATAATAATTCTGATCTTTTCTTCTAAAACATGGTTGGTTTTGCTTTTTGCACTGAAGTCTTTAATGTACTTGTGCCAATGCCTTTTACCAAATAGCCTCTTATATGCAAAGGTAGCTGTTATTATCAAGTTTCCATAGATGTATGGATCTCGGTTAGATCTTTATTCTGTTCTGTTGGTCTATTTGTCTAACTGCACCAATATAACATTGTCTTAAAATTTTTCAATAAACTTTGATTTCTGGTAGAGCTAATTCCCAAGTCTTTAGGAATGTTGATAGTGTTTTTTTTAATCTCCCAAATATTTCTTCCCTTCATCTTGAAGAGATCCAAAGTTAAACTTTACATTATTTAAGGAATTAATATTCATGTACCCCACAGAAATTAAATAGCTATATAGAGTGGTGATATTTAGGAGGTTGAAGCTATTTTGGCTAAAGTATAGCATATTTTTTAACCATAAAATAATCACTGTTTTTATTTTTGATAAATCTGTTTTTGGTATGTCTTTTTTTTAAAGTATAGCATTTTTAATCTGGATAATATAGCTTTATTTTTCTCTCTCCTCATCCCTGGGCTCATCTGTCAAAACTAAGCAGATAATTCACTAAACACTTTCTCAAAGCCTCTAAGCTTACCTCATTCTCACAAAGTTCCTTATATAGGCTTTAGAACAGACTCTGCTAAGTTGAGGTAACTAGGGGGAAAAAAATGTAACCCTAAAGGTATTTATATGCAGGGCTATATCAAAAGAGTCCATATAACCAGATGGTATTTAAATGAGGTTCATATGAACAGAGAGCAACCAAGTGGTATAATTGCTACATATTATTTTTTATTAATATGGTAAGAGGAAATATAAAATCTTAACAACTAAAAATGAGTACAGAATATATATATATATACATTCCAATAGTACAAGAAATATTAAACAGTAAAACCTAACCTGAGTAATCTTTGTTCCGGTAATAAATTTCATAGCTGCTGTTGTTTCTTCTTCAGAAATGAGATGTCCATCTAAATGTGTAAGAGTCTTTAATCTGCCAATGACACTCAGCCTCAATGTGGCTGGCTTGGGAAAAATTACAAAAAGTTAATTTTCACAAAATATTACATATGTTATAGTATAGAAAGGAGCAATTTTTTCATTTCTTTCCTTATAATTCAAAATTATCCATTTCCTTGTTCCTTCAGTGTATCTAAAAATAAAGGCTTCATTTAATTCTTTAAATAATAATTGAAATTAAATTATATTGAAGAGTTAATCTGTTTCATTTTCACATGGATGATTCCATTCTTATGAAGGGGAGAAGTCCTATGAACTGTTGAAAATTGTCTGTGGTGAAAAGAGTTAAATGAACAAATTGCAATGACTCCTGTTTATCTAGATGAGCAGTAAGCTAGTAAGCTCCATGTGTGATTCAATATGGACAGTTAGCCCTGGACATTCAATTTGGCAGCAGGGAGAGAGTTGTATTGTGATCATCCAGAAAGTCTGCTTTGGCCAAAGAAAAAGATTAAATTTTGCAAGTTTAAAAGAAGAAATATAATAATATAAATTCAGAAATATGGCCAACTTAATAAACTGATCACTCTTTAGTCCCCCATAAAAAGTTGAATATAACACATTTCAGAGGCGGAGAAAGAAAGATTCTTGAAATTATAAACTTGGACATTATTTAAAATAGTTGGAGATACCCTTAAATCTAATCATTGACTATTGAAATCACATATTTCATGATGATAAAAATACTGTTCAATCATATTTCATCTTACAACAGAACTTAAGACTTCATAATGCAATTTTATAAGGGGAGGTGATTTCTGGACTTAAAATAGAGAATAATGCAAAATTCTAAGTATAATTGTAAAACATGTTTCTCAACACAGATTAGAATATATTACACATCAAACTATGTTTCTTCTTTAATAGTATACTTCCTTCACTGTATCATATTATTTTTGGTTCCTGTGCCTCATTACAGTAGGGTTCTGGCACACAGCTTTATAAATTCTCTGGAGGCGTGCAGAAGCCAGTGATATCAATCATTCTTAAAGCAATAATGCTTTCAAACTGTTAGAGGTTACAAGAAAAAAAAACTTAACATGAAAGTATAGCCTTTTCTTATGGTAACATCTGATACATTTGATTACTAGGCTAAATTCAATTTATGAAGGATTTTAAGTCTAGAAAAACAAAAGATAGTTGTCCCATTTCTGGCTACTATTTGCTGAAAAGTAGTGAGAAAATAGCTTCAAAGTAAGTGTTTGCTTTTTCAAAAACATGTCTGTTGCATACCTTTTGCCATGGATTATGTTGAATATTAAGAGTGAGAAGGCTTGTGGTGTGTTTACATAACACATTTATTTCATCCCCAGATTTCTTTAGTTGATTCCAGCTCAAGTCCAAGTGCTTTAGTTTCATCAGACCTCTAAATCCCTCAAGAGTTATCACATGGTTGTGGCTTGCATCCAAATATTCAAGGTTATACTGCAGCACAGACAAACAAAAGTGATGGTCAGAATCATGGTTTGTGTTTAAACAGCTCTTTTCTCTGGTTCTTTAAATGCTTTGCATGCTTTCTTATAATCCTCATAAAAAAACAGACACAGTAGTTAAGCTACAATAATGAAATCAATATGTTTATTTTCTTAAAGAGCTATGGGTATTTAATTTGATGGTAATTCTCTCAATTCACACTTAACTCTTATAACATAGATCAGTCATATTTGCTTTCATGGGAGAGAAAGCAAAATGAAATAGACAAGAAGATTTGTCCTCAGCAAATAAAATATACTTCTAATTAGGCAGCTTCTGGTTTATATTGTTGAACTCAACCTGGTTTTAAAAGGTTCACCCTCAGGGGTAGAAATTAAACCTATGAATTTGACTCTATAATTTTCTTTTTACAGTGTTCACAACTTTAAATAAGAATTATTAATAGGAATAGTCAATATTTATTTATTTATTTATATGAGTATCAGGGATTAAACTCAGGGGCACTCTATCACTGAGCCACATCCCCAACCCTATTTTGTATTTTATTTAGAGAAAGAGTCTCACTGGGTTGCTTAGTGCCTCATTTTTGCTGAGGCTAGCTTTGAACACTTTGATCCTCCTGCGCAGCTTCCCAAGCCACTGGATTACAGGTGTGTGTTATTGCACATGGCTGATAAGAATTTCTAAATTATAAAAGTTACACACATTCATGCCCATGACACAGACATTATTGTATTTGTCTATGATATACCAGAAGGCAAATGCAAATCAGATAAGATCTGTGCATATGACATTCAGGTAGAAAAGATAGAGAAAGAGAAATAGCAACCTGAATAATGAAGATTTAAAGAAATGACAGCATTAGATGTGCAGTAGTAAACTAGAAAGTGAAATAGACAGGACTCAAAAGAAGGAGAAGAGTGAGAAAATAAGAGCAGAGGAAATGAAATGACACACAAGAACATTTTCAGAATATATTTTAATATATTGATACATTTAATTAAAGTAGCTAGATATCAGATAAGACCATAGGTATGTTTTTGGTGTGCAAATAAAATCTAAACTTAAGATCTGTTTTAGAGAAAGCACCAGAATATAGTGAATGTGTGCTTTATCCCTGATTTAGGCCATATAATCTTGCATATGGTATATATGAAGTCATAGTTACAAAGATAATTTACCCTTTAATTTTACTTAAATGTTTTCAAAAGGAAAAAAAACTTTCTTTTCAAAGGAGTGGTTATTTTAAAAATTATTTATTTCAATTTATCATTTATCTTTTTATTTTTTGCTGTACCAATGGTTTTTTAAAAATATTAAATTGACAGATTAAGTGTGACTCTATTCAAGGTGTATAGTGTAATGATTGGGTATATTATACACTGTATGATGGTTACTGTAATACAATTAATTAACATAATCATTACCACCCATGTTTGTTCATCTTTTAAATGAACGTTTCTACCTTAGACCAATATCCTATCATGTCCCCCTTCCTCACAGGTCCCGATGGCCACCATTGAACCCTGTGCTTCTATGAGTTTGATTTTTTTAGATATCAAAAGGAAAGTTCTTACCAAGTGGTATACATCATCTAAACAAGTAAATTCATTAAAACTAATATTCAGTTTTCGAAGTCCTGTTAATTTGGAGAGATCTCTCAATTTACTCAAGCTGTTTCCATGTAGATTCAGACTCTGAAATACAATAAAAATTAAAAAATAAAAGAGATTACATTCTATATCATTCTGTGAATACCTAAACTGTTTAGACAATTACTTGAACCAATATAACACAAAATAAGAAATTGCTTATTTTAAATTACATTAGGAGAATGTCAATAAGAAAAACTAATCTATGATGTTAAAATGTTAAAAAGTAAAAATAATTTACAATAGCATCTTTGGACCTGATTATTGAATGATATGATTTACAACTGGGTCTAAATTTATCAATAATTGACATGACATTCTTTTTAGGAAATAGTTAAATATATGTGTTAAGATATTTATTAGGGATGATTTATTTCTCAGGCTGGAAAGTGAACAATGGGGTCCTAAAGATTTCAGGTATTAGATAGGAAATCTCACAGCAAAAAGATGGCAAGGTATACCTTCATGGAAGGAAACTATGAGAAAAAAACTGTATGGACTAATGAAGAAAGGGTATAGGTACCAAAACAGCAGGACAAAACATCAAAGAACATGGTGGGAGAACAATCTAAAACAATGCCTATGTCAGATTTTGTCCCAGATTTTCCCTGTATGTTTCATCCTAAACTTTATAAAAATGAATACAATTTTAAATTTAGGGGAGATCTTGACGCCTACATGTTTTTCTGTCTATTGTGAATGATATCAAGTTAAGACTATATTTATGTATAGCCTACAAAATAAACAATGATGCAGTTAAATGTATTAGTTCAGTTGATTATAGTGTCCACAAATGAGCATTACTATAATCAAATCAAGCGTCTACACCCAGTCATCTTCACTCATCACCATCATATTAAATCACTACATTCCTTAAAGAGAAAAACAATTAAATTTCTAATAGTACTCCAAACTAGCAGAAATTGTAAAGAAGGGCCAATTTATGCAGACTAATTATTTTATGAAAATAGGCATCACCATGCAAGAATCTACAGATATTTTACACTTAGCATAACTACAAATGAATCCATCATCTTCCTTGTATCTCTACTGGGTAGCCTATGTTTTCATCCCGATTAAGAGTTTTACTGTCTGTTGATAACCCCCTTTTTCCCCATATACATTTGATTGTAGAAACATTTCTCAAACCTCCATTCCTACCAGTGTCCTGGTATAGACTATTATTTCTTTTTTTTAAACTACTACAATGGGTTTCCACTGCATCTCCAAACCACCAGTCTGACTTCAATTAGACTCCACCAGCTGCTAAGTGAGTGTATTCCTTACAAAGAAGAAACTAAGTTTTTAAATTTGGCTTCCAATATCCACCCCAATGTGACTACAACCTCCTATTATTCCAGCCTCAGCTTCATGTGTTTTCCTTGAATTCCAACCTTTATCTTGATCTACCACCATCACAATATATATCTTAATCTTCCTGAATTTCTCAGTGTTCCCTGAAAACAAAGTATCTTTCAAAACCAAGTGCTTACTTATAAAAAGAATATTTTCTCTTTCTGGAAGATGTAAACAACTACATTTCTCTTCAAAAAAATCCTTTCAAGGGCTGGGGATATAGCTCAGTTGATAGAATTTTTGCCTTGTATGCACAAGGCCCTGGGTTCAATCCCGCACCACACACACACACACACACACACACACACACACACACACACACACACACACA